AAGCAGACTTTAAAGCAACAGTGCTAATAGGAGGTGTCAATAAATCTTTCGCAATTGCAGAAACAATTGGCCAACGTCTTTCATACTTTCGCCAGAATTCAATTACTTCTTCTGAAATTTTTTTAATTGTTCTGTCTGTTGGCATATTATGATTGAAATAATCAATTAATTCGGCATGCATCGCATTTTGAGTTTCGACCAATGTTTGATGAGATGTAGATGTAGACGACATGGCACTAGATGAACAAATTACAGTTGCATCATATCTAAATGTATTAATACCCTGAAATAAATTCATTATTTTCGCAGCATCTTTTTCAGTTTCAATAGAAGGAGTAGGTGCAGTAGAGGGTACCCGACTGACATTTGCACATATTCTTTCCGCATATAAATTATACATTCCACATAATGTTTGCTCTAAATTCTTATAGGTGATAGGTATATCAAGTATTAAAACTTTATTGATTTGATCAATTACGTATTTAGTTCCCGAAATATTATATCGGGGGTCCATTGCGCATGCTAAAGAAAATAACATAGGCAGTTTTTCCCAATATTTTCTAAACTTTAATTCCATAGCAATTAAAATTTCACTAAAAGCAGGATCATTTTTATATTTATGGAATCTTCTTGCAATTATATAAAGTCGTTCAAGCACCATACAACTTGTGGGATAATAAACGCTGAATAAAATTTTTGTGGTCTCATAAAAAGATGTCAAAAATCGTTTAACTTTCAAAGCTAAAATCCAATCGGATTCATTTAACATACCATCATCATCACTTCTAACATATCTATTATTATAAAAGTCAGTTATTAAATTTTTGAAACCTTCACATGATTTTAAGAGCAAGTATGTAAAGTTCCATCTATGACCTACGTCGCTAACAAATGTTTTAGCAGTCATCACCCCTAATTAGGTACAAAAATCATCAAATGCTTGTTTTCTACTAGGAGAGATCGTAATATAAACTAATGCATTCCTAATCCTTTGAAGTTCATCCTTTATATGTTTTAAACCATTTTGTACAATTAAATTCAAGATATGACACACACAACGAATATGAAACATATACCCACCAAAATCAGACTGAAGTGTCATACACAATTTATCGACGACTACCTTATTAACGCTAGCATTATCAAAAGTAAAAGATCGAATTTTACTCTCACAATGATATTCTCTAACAATACTCATAATAGCATTATATATATTATTAGTATTGTGAGAAAATTCAATAATTTTAAAAGCAATAATTTTCTTATGCATGCACCAAAGTGAGTCTAAATAGTGTGTGGTTGCAGCTATATATGCTCTTTTATTAACCCCTTCCCATATATAAGAAGTTAAGGATATAATATCCCCATATTGTTGCAAATCCATAATTAATTGTTGTTTTGAATTATTGAAATAATTTATTGTATCGGCACGAAAAGTGTCTTGACTTACCGCAATGTACCTCGGTTGTAGATATTCTTTTACGAATGAGATGAAGTGTTGGTTGTCTGCGATAGCCAGAGGCAACTCAGTGGCGGCAACAAATTTCACCATTCCAGTTCGAGTCTCGTCCTTCGAATTCACCCACGTGGATAGGGGTGAAGTTGTAGAACCGACGCCTGGACTGCCAAATTGTAATTGTGTTTGACCAGCTGGAAGAAGTCCATGTCTGGCTGCAGATAATTTGTAGTGGCGGTTGAGATGAGTGGTACCAATTCCTTTTTGCCATGCCAATCTTTGTTGGCAGTATTTACATACTACTTTAAATTCTGTAAGACCATCAACGACTTTTCCCGTTGAAATCGACTTAAAGTGATCCCAACATTTTACTTGTTTTTTGGCCTTTCGCTTTCCCCTCGCATCTGGGATATTTAATTGCTGATCTTCATCTTCATGTTCTGCTTCGGAAACGTTAATATCATCCAAATCAATTGGAATGTGGCTTCCCTGACCGTGAATGTGAATATCTTCAGGTATCGGTATGTCATTTAGACTGGCAAATTCATTTGAAAATTGACTTTGCGGCGTACTAGGTGATTCTCCATGATGTGGCAATGGCTCACATCCTGTATCGAACAAGCTCTCAACAAATGAACGTTGATCCATTTCTGTAATTGTTTATGATGAAATATTGACTAGATGAATATAAATGTAGCGAGATTGTGAGAATTGAGAATTGGATGAATTGAAATTGTAGCTAATAAACTGAAAAAATTGGATTGATATTGTATATTTTGCAGCACTAGAGAGTAAAAACTCGATAATTAATATAATAAAAGAGAGTTGAGACTTGAGAGAGTTGTAATCTTGGAAGAGATTGATATGAAAAAAGAAAAAAAGAAAAAAAAAAGTTCAGTGACCGTTTGGTCACTGAACAAGGCTCGACGAGCCGCCCACGAGTGGCTCGTCGCTCGGCTCGCCTACAGGCGAGGCCAGCTCGGCTCGTGCAAATCATGAGCCCGAGCCGCTCACGAGCCCCTTTTTCATGAGCCGAGCCGGTTCGGCCCAATTGACATCCCTATCCTTAACCAACTTCTTTGAAATTTCTTCTCCAGTTGTCCAAGTTTATAGTTCATGGGGTCTAGTCTTCACCATGTATAAAGTCTCGGACTGGGTGGTGCACCAATGAATAAGATTTTCAGCCATGTCCACTAAAAAATCATTTTCAATTGGACTTTTCTAATGAATATCCTCCCTTAATTATTGTAAGGTTCAAAATAAGAACAACCCAATTATAATATTTTGACTTAGAATTCAGCCCCTCTTTGATTTTGCTAAAAATTATATTTTAATAAATTTTAATAAAAGTTAATGAAATGTATGATTAAAAAATTAATAAAAATGACGACTCTCTTAAAATTAGTGATAAAAAATAAGTTGAAGGAAAAACAAATAAAAAAAAAAGAGCTTAAAATAAATCAAAAGAATCATGATTTTCATTTAATTCTTTGTTGCTCAAGTCAACACTTAACTTTTCAATTTAATGCCCAGATTACGTTTGCGATAGCCTAGTATTTGACGTATATTATATTTCTATTATCATCATTTATCCCAAACTAATCGATTTTCCAAACTAAGGAAATATTTCTAGTATTTGTGGGTAGTCCCTAAAATAATGAAAAGTTCTCATTTTGATCATTAACCTTCTAAGCTTCTCGATTAAGTCCTAGATAAGAAACATGAGATCATTGAAACTTCCAATATTTATGGTTCCTCCCTATCAACTTCCTCTTCTACGCTAAAAGCAAAACGCTACATATAAAGTTTCTTGTTTAGCACGTCTCAATCTACAAAAGTATTTTACAATTTCTAGATTTCATGAAACCCATGTTAAGCCATGTTTGGAATGAATTAAAATTCAGATTTTAATCAAAATCAAAATCAGTAATTAATTTTAATCATATATTTCATTTATCAAACTTTAATAAAAATTTGGTTTTAATCCCCATCAACCAAACAACGGCCAAGTGGCAAATAGAATTTCCATTTTAATAATTTATTGCTTTTTTGGACTTATGTTGAATACGAAATTAAAAAAGCTTATTAGCACAAAACGTTCTTACATTTAAGCTTTAGGGTGCGAAACGTACATACTTTCAAATTTTTGCATTTTCACCCTCATTTTCACGTTTCATTGTGAAAAACGTCGTGTTCATCTTTTTTTCGATAAAAATATGTGAAATGACAAATATACACTCTTATTTAAATTTAAAAAAAAAAGGAAAGAAACTAATTGTAATCATAGGCTCAAATTTTTCAAAAATTTACAAATGAGCCCCAAATAAATAATTAAAAATCAAAACTTAAAAAAAAAGGGGAAATAACTTCATCTTCTTCCATCACCCCCACTCCACTCGTTATTTTGGAGACTTCATGGAGCCGCTCGCCTCTATATCACCAACCACCATCCAACTATTACCTAAAGCACAGGAGCTCACACCACAAACAACGGCCATGAACCCCTAAACACTTTCCCATAAAAGCCAATTGAACCAAAAACAAATTTATATGGTCAAAATCAACCAAAAACGTGCATGGTCTAGAGCAATACACTGTCTTTTTCCCTTAATTTCAAAGCCGACAATGGTTATCACCATCGCGGACCACATTCCGACTTTGCCATATCACGCCGTAGTTGTTACAACAATTTGCTTCCATCAATTTCATCCTAACATGACCCAGAACTTATGCCCAGTTCATGCACAGTGTGCACTCATCAAACCTAGTCGAACTATTTCTTCCTCACAAAATGAGTTCAATCTTAAATTCTTGCAACAAAGTCTCAAACTTAGACATGTTCAGATTCTTGTTGATTTCTGTGTTAAAATGCTGCTCCATCTCACCAAAATCTATGGTGTAGAATCTTGGAGTCACCAAGGTTTCCTTTATTTTCTTGTTTGCCAGGCTTTTTCTTCTTCACTACAGTTGTTGCTTGGCATTGGTGATGATGTTGTGATGGTAAAATTCCGGAGCTTGGTTGTCGGGAGTTTCCAATTCTTGGGATTGTGGAGTTAAATTTGGATATGAGTTTGAATAAATCCATTTCGGCTGCCATTTTGGGTTAAATTTTGCAGTAGAAAAATGAGTTTGAGGAGGGAGTGATAAGATGTTGACCTACATGTAATTTACTATTTTAGTTGATTTTGGGATTTATTTGTACTTTTTTTGAAAAATTGAGAGTATGGTCACAATTTGTTCTTTATTTTTTTTTCTTATTTTTCATTTTATTTAAATATGAGGGTATATTTGTCATTTTATAATTTTTATTGAGAAAATGGATGAAAATTGATTGAAATAATGTTTTATGCAATGAAACGTAAAAATAAGGATAAAAATGCAAAAAATTGAAACGTTGAGACTTTTTTTTACTAAAGATCAAATGTAAGGACGTCGTGTGCTATTATTAAGACAAATTAAATACATTGGTCAAAATTAAAATAATGCTAGTGGATGCCCTTTCTATCATTTAATTCCCATTTCTTGTGTATCAAAATTTTCCATAATCATCCATTAACACATCTCTACCGTCACTCCTCCATCATCAACGGTTGAAAAAAAAAATTCTATTTCCAAATTAATACCCGTTCTCGTTTTCGAGTTCTTTTCTGGCATATTACACAGTACAGCTATAATGTACATAATCGGAATAAAATTCGATCAGTTTTTGTCTACCGATCCCTAATTTGTATTGGTCTCTGAAAACCCTAACCTTCTGCAGCTGATTTTGCTCAATTTTTCTCCGTACATTCCCTGATCATCTGTTGTTTTTTCAGTTCAATTCAATTTAATTCGAATTATTGGTACAGTTTTGCCCGATTGTTGTTACTGTGATTTTTGAGTTATTTTTGTAGTTACTGTAGCGTCCAACGAAGTGATATATAGATAGATGACACGTGCTTATTTATTGGGATACTTGGTTTTTGATTTCTTGGAGAGGAATTTTTAATAGGTGAAAAGGGTATGGTAATTGGAGGATGAAAGATGCCGCTGCGTGGCGGAGTTCGCAGAGGCAGGAGAGGAAAGCCGCAGCCAGTGCCGAACAACAACAGCAACAACAATAATAATCAGAATAATAATTATAGTGAAGCGGTTGAGAACGCTGCAATTGCTACGAGAACAAGGAAGAGGAAAAGGGCGGCTGCTGCAGCTGTTGCGGCACCGGTTGAGGACAACATAGTTGCTGCACCAGCAGCGGCGAACGAGATTAGGGAGGTTCGACAGCGAGGGGAGAGGGTTTTGGAGCAACCAGAAAGGAGAGAACAGGTGGGAGAGAGGCCGATGGATGATTATAGTAATGGTGGAAAAAAAGTCGACAAGGCTACAGCTGATGAATCATCCGCTGCTCCTCTTCCCGAAAGGGTTAGACCATTGTCCTTCATATATATATATAGTCGATCTTTCCGGGTGCTATATCTTTAAGATGTTTGTATTGCACTTGTGTTCGGATGGATGAAACAAAAAGTTCGGGTGCTATAATTTTTATTTTGTGTGTTGCACGTTTCTGTATCAAGAGAACGGAAAATATTTTAATATTCATAGTCCATTCATATTACTGTGATCTGGAATTGAAAGGTTAAATCTTTTTCTTTGATTAAGGAAGGAAAACTTGATGAATTTGTTTGTATATGCATATCATTTTTTGACTACTGTTTGGAATCTGCTTTTAACTATTGCTGATTAAATTTTGTTACGAAGTTTCGAGTTTCTTATTCAGAAGAAATGCTGGACATAGAGCATAGAATGATGACTTGGATGATGGAAAAAAGTAGCTTAATATTATTTTGGGAACGGATAGAACAAGTTAATAACTTCTCTGCTTGCTGTTCTGGTTTTACATTTGAAAGTATGATTAACTTTTAAATTGTTTAATTGTCAACGTGACCATGCTGTTGAATGTCACTCCAGTAATATTTAATTGTCAATGTTAGTATTTATTGTCTATCTGTTTTATGAAAAATGTATATGAAAATAGGGCCGGGCATTTAAACCATCATGTGAGTAACTTGTGCGATTTTGTTGTTATAGAATCATGTATCAGAACTTGAGACCTGTAGGATTGTGCTCTTCTATTTTTTTTATTTTTTATTTTTTTATGAGTTCTTGTCATGGCACTTGCTACTCTTAAGCTATCTGTGATCTATGGCTGGTATGTGACATAGAGAGCTTATATTACATTGATTCTAAGATGCTGACGGCAAAGATCTTTGGTTTTTCTAGAGGCTTGTCGTAGGGACGTAGAGAGCTTGAATTTTAGAGATTCCAAGATAGAGACCAGAAAGATGAAAGATCATTTGTTGTGTCTAAAGGCTTGTCATATTGTTCTATTCATCTGCTGCGTTAAAAAGAAAACTTCTGTGTATACTCCTGACTACAAAAAGCTTTTCCTTTCTTCAACTTTTGACTTCCCCTTAGTTTTGACTTCCCCTTGGTTAATTAATAGCCAACATCTGGTAGCTTCTTCCAAGGAGATTTTCAATTAGTGTATTGAATCTCTCAAAATTGAGGAGTTCACTGTTCTTCTCTTTTGAGCTTAGGGCTCTTAACTCAACTTATATCGATCATATTAGTTACAGCTCGTGGTGTCACATTTTCAATTAAACAGCTCTGATGTGTTAATTGTTACTGTTCAAAAGCTTCTCTTCCAATCTTCACTGCAAACGAATTTTTGGCATCACCAGAAATTGATGTGGACTTGTTGCAGCCAGTTTTCTGTTTTGGAACTTTGGTTGTCTCCATCCGACATCTCGGCACTAGTATGTCTTGATAATGCTCAACTGCCTCTCTTTACTAGTTTAAAACTTTCACTAAATAAAAATTGTCTTTTCTTGTTGAAAAATTTATAGATGAAAAATTAGAATAAGCATTAATCTGTACCAACACGCAATATTCATTTAAAGTTAATAAATGTTGCATGCTAAGTTTTCATGTTGAATATTCTGGTGTTCACAAAATATCTAGGTTTTACCATGTACTATTCTTTGCTTTTCTGATATCACATACCCTTGAGTTATGACCCCAATTATTTTACAACTTGCATATATGTTATTAGAAATTGGTAGGAGTTTAAAAATGTAAATAATACCAGAATTACATGAACAGACCCTAATTGCTAAAACCAATGCTTAATTCTTACGAGTGAAATTACTTGAAGGTCACCTGGATCTTGCTTGTTGAGCCAATGTTTTTATTTATTTTATTATTATTATTATTATCATCATCATCAATCTGATTGGGTTTCGAGGCCAAATATGTCTCTTATAGTTCGTATTTATCAATGTCATCTGAGTTGCTTCGTGGTATTTTTTTTTTTATGTGCGTTTTGTGTCTTTTCCCCTTTTTTTTCCTTTTCTTTAAAAGTTTGAGAGAGTATTGCCTTTTCTTTAAGCATCCATTGTAATTTCTCAACTGCCTACACTTCAACATACTCTTACCTTATCACCACCGTTTCTCATTTTTTACATCCGTTTCTAGTTTATTCATGAGTGCACACAGCAATATGCTTGGCATGCAGTTACAAGAAATGCTTAGGATTGTAATCAAGTTAAACTTTTGGACTTATCAATTGAGGCAGTTGAATTTTTGGGGATTTGAAAGATTTGGAGTTATCAGAGCATTTTTCTTTCAGGTTAAGTAGGGTAGTTAAAGTTAAAAAAAAGAAGAAGCCTATATTGAGCTGATTTATAGTGTTTTTATTGTCTTAATTGGGAAGGATTCTTACAACAAACAACTGTCAATTATTTCAGAATTGAAATAAAGTCGAACCTAACCTTCTTATGCATTTGGGAATTTGGATGCCCATTTTGATACTAATTGAGTTCCTACGGTCCCGTTAATACAGGTTCAGGTTGGTGGTTCACCGATGTACAGGATCGAGAAAAAACTTGGCAAGGGAGGTTTCGGACAAGTGTGTGTTGGTCGCCGTATATCTGGTGGTATCAGTAATGATAGAAATGGACCTGGAGCCATAGAAGTATGTCTACTGCATTCATATCGTACTAGATTTAAAATTTTCTAGCTCTTTCTTTGTAAGAAGGGACATAATTATGTGTGAACTTTCCAGGTGGCTCTAAAATTTGAACATCGTAACAGTAAAGGATGTAACTACGGTCCACCTCATGAGTGGCAAGTTTATAAGTAAGTAGTTTTGATATTATGCTGCAACAGTTGGAACTATTTATGTTTGACTGTACCATTCATATTATCTCATTTGCACAGTACTCTAGGGGGGAGTCATGGTGTACCACGAGTGCATTACAAAGGCAGACAAGGTGACTATTATGTGATGGTATGTTAATGTTACTGTTGCTGTCTATTTTCTTCTAGTACTCCTCTTTCTACTTTGGAGCCAGTATTTATTACAGCATAAACGGAATCTTAATTTCTGCAGGTCATGGATATGCTTGGACCTAGCTTGTGGGATGTTTGGAATAATAGCTCTCACACGTGAGTATAGGGAAAACAAAGATATTAGCTATCTGATTTTAGTATCAATTGTTGATGCTTATCAGGTTTTTCTGGTGCTTAATTAAATCTTTTGGCTCGTTAAATCCAGGATGCCCATGGAAATGGTGGCATGCACTGGCATTGAAGCAATATCTATATTGGAAAAGATGCACTCCAAGGGGTGAGATTCTTTCACTGGCAGGATGTTTCTATTGAGATGCATTAATCTGCTTCCTTTTCTTTCATCAATTTTCACCCTCACTCCTCAAACCTAACCTTTATTGTTTTCCCTTTCTTCCTGTTGTATTTCTTCTGTAATCTTAGCAAAGAATGCTAAAAGCACGTTTCCATTATAAATATATAGAAATGAGTGGTGCATAAGTGGGTAGTGCTTATGGGTCCAATGAAATGTATAGATAAAAAGTGGATTGGCTGATTATAAACAAATTTATAGACAGCTGCCAAAAATGCGCCAAGTTTCCTTTTGATTTCATTTTCCGCATTCACATTTTTTGCTCATTTTACAGGAATAACATGGAGTGTTTGGCATCTACTTGTAAATGTGGCATATAGTCAAAAAAAGGGGCGTGATATATGTGAAATGTATTAAATATAGTAGATATCATAAAGGCAGATGTAGTAGGGTTTGCAACGTGTACGGTAAAAAATTTGGTTACAGTTGCGATAGAGCTTGTTAAAGAGGAAAGTGTCTGGCGTGGAATACTTGCTTTAAGAGAGAGCAAGCCGTGGATCTTAAAATGATGTGTACCTTAATAAAGATTATCTAACCTATTGAATTCAAAAGAAATTTTGTGTTGCTATGTTAAGTTCTTGCTACAATAGCTTTTCTGATTTTCCACTACTTTATTAACTTGTTTGGCTGTGGAGGAGAACATGCGGATGTTCTCAAGCAAAGATCTTCATAGATGAAACAAGCAACACAAAAACAAAAAACAGCTGTGGGGAAAGTAGCCAGATTTTCACTGCCGCTGCTCTGAGTTTTGATATTCTGTAGCTGGTTTTTGGTTTCGTTTTGTTTGTTCCATTGCAGACGATTTTTGCTTGAGAACAATCGCTTTCTCCCCTGATTTTTTTCTCCATTAAGCCAATCTCGTAAATCTTCATTTAAAGACAAGCTGTAGAACTTCATTTAATGACAGTTTGGCTGCATGTCTAATTTTATGTTTGGCAAATGAAGTTAACCTATCAGGTTGGTCACAAGAGAGGCAGGCTGGCTTTTGAAGATGAGGTAGATGAACAGCCAAGAAAGAAAGTTCGTATGGGAATGCCTGCTACACAATGGATTAGTGTATATAATGCCCGTAAACCCATGAAGCAAAGGTATATGGTTTTCCTCTATCATTGCCACTGTTTGACTTAGATGGCCTTAATTAAAATGTTTCCTAGTGGCTAGTTGAATTTGTGCTTGTGTGTCTTATAGCAGGATGTACCTCGAGCTGTTATTTTGTTTAGTTTCTCCAGAATATATAATCTCAACAAGTGGTTCAGAGTTGTTATATTCTTTTTTGCTCTACCTTCATCTTGAATTCCATGCTTGTGGTGTGTTGATATTGAAGGTATCACTACAATGTGATGGATACAAGGCTTGCCCAACACATTGAAAAAGGAACAGAAGATGGCCTATTTATCAGTTCCGTAGCATCTTCTCAAAACCTTTGGGCTCTAATAATGGATGCAGGCACTGGCTTTAATGCCCAAGTTTATGACCTATCACCTTCCTTTCTTCACAAGGTACATAAAATTTAAGGGCTGTTTTTTCAATCATTGCATTACTGATAAGCATGCTTGTGATCTACTGATGTCTGATGACGACAATATTCAATTTTGTGATCCTTTCATGTATATTTTGGATTGCTTGTCAGGAATGGATACTGGAGCAATGGGAAAAGAATTATTACATCAGTGCAGTTGCAGGAGCTACAAATGGGTGTTCATTAGTAGTAATGTCAAAAGGTAAGTGTTTAGGTATGAATGCTTAATTACTGCTCCGTGTTGTTGATGTTTGCTGGGATTGACTCGGGTTTGATTTAATTAATTAGGCACTCAGTATTTGCAACAGTCTTACAAAGTGAGTGATTCTTTTCCATTCAAGTGGATAAACAAAAAGTGGAGAGAAGATTTTTATGTTACCTGTATGGCCACTTCTGGTAGTAGATGGGCAGTTGTCATGTCTCGTGGTGCTGGCTTTTCGGAACAGGTTTCTTATGCAAAATTATCTTCCTTTCCAATACGTTGGTTTTTCATTCTGATAATTTTTGCTAAATGTATGTCCATTTTTTAGGTTGTCGAGCTAGATTTTCTTTATCCAAGTGAAGGTGTTCACCGGCGCTGGGATGCTGGATATCGTATAACTTCTACTGCAGCAACTTCAGATCAGACTGCTCTTGTTTTAAGTGTTCCAAGAAGAAAACCAACTGATGAAACACAAGAGACACTTCGGACTTCTGCCTTTCCCAGCACACATGTCAAGGTAGATCTATCATAACAAGTCGGTTTCTTTTGGAGTCCTATTATATTTTTTGCATGTTAATTTATGCAGATTAACAAACAATATTTTCTTTTTCTTGAATGGCAGGAGAAATGGGGAAAAAATCTGTATATTGCATCTGTTTGTTATGGCCGTACAGTTTCATAGAGCTGCTAGATTTTATGTTGACCTTCCGTAGTTTAAAAGATCAAGACTTATTGGCAATCCAGCTGGAAGAAAGAACCGGGGTCTCTGTAGAGGTTTCCAGTTTGTAAGGGTTTTTGAATTGATGCAAGTTTGTGCAGTAGTTACGCTAGAGAAGTTAAGGTTGGGCCTGATATCTGTTGTGTATTTTGGTTTAAACGAAGGCTCATTTGCACGCAAAGTTGAAGATGGTAGGCGTTTTTTACTTATTGCCGTCAAATGTGTATATTCCTTCGTAATAAGTCTCTGTGTGGGCTTTAAACCTGGAGGGTCTACTGTCTTGTTTAAATTGCCTAGCGCAGTCACTGGTGGAACTCGATACTAATTCTAGTTTTATGCTTATATCCAGTCTCAATTTATTTCAGTCCCTCTCTTGAGTACCGAACAATTGGTTTGCTTGTTTATGTTATCAATTCCAGTGCTGCTGTTTCTCACGATATTTGCATAGCGTATGAATGCTTGTGTATTAATGACATTGCTAATTCTTTCGTAACGATGAATACTTGTGTACCATTTACATTGTGGATGAAAACTCGTAAGACTGATCTGTGTGACTTAGCGCAAGCTTGTGATATCTTAGAACCCAAGAAATTGTCATGCGATCTTGCACATCCAGCTTATGAAGCTAGGATTTGCTTTCCTACCTAGGCTAGAAGCTGAAAAAACTTGATGTGCCTGAGTGTCTAGTGAAGAATGATTAGAGAATGGAGGGTACTATCATTGAAGAGTGATACTTCATCTATAATGGAATGTTAAGAAATAATTTGCTACTTTGTTGAACGTTTGAGGCTAACTTGCTACTTTTGCAGTATTTTGGAGACAAATGATGCAATTATTCAGTAAACTGCTTGAATTTCGGAGGCCGTTCGACATTTGATTTTCCGAGTTATGTCTGAAATTGGATTATGCAATTGCGTCTCTAGTAAGGTATTTTGGTCTTTCTAGTTTATTGAATAGATGTAATGCGAAGGGAATAGGTTTAGGATAAATTTTTAGGACTTTGACATAAGAAGTCATGAGCTATAATTTTTGGGCAAAATGAAATCATTAAGGGTTTTGGGTTTCAATTGATGTTAGAGCATTCCCGTGAAGTGAAGGGATAATGCACAAACATGAGCGATACGAGGATAGTCCCAAAGGAAGTGGACTTGGAGTGAATTCTCGGAACTTGATTATAGATGATACGGTCCTAAGCAGGGCATGATCGACGATCGATCGTGGGAATATATTGACGTTGTACTCGACCGCTTGACGACTTGGTGAGCTTAATATCAGTTACATAAGCTTAGGAGAAAAGAGTGAAAATGATTCAAAGCATTTTTCAAAATTAAGTTTGGATCGAGGACTCAGGTACAATTTGTAATAAATGATTTTGCATTCGCTTAAACGAAACGAGGAAAACCGTTCAAAATATTTTCAAACGTAAGTTTGAGCTAAGGTTCGAGGATCAATTCAAAATGTTATTGAGTTTTACACGCTTAAACGAAAAGAAAGAGCATTATTTTCTCAATTCTTTTCTTAGGGGCTTGGCTTGCTTGAGCTTACCTTTCCCAGCCATTGGATCCACTCCCTGGTTCTTAGTTCGAAGACTCGTAATCGAATTTATTTTAATTGGAATCGATCCGAATTACCTTATGTGATCTAGTTCTCCTCCGAATGGATTGGTTCCAAAGAAAAACGTGTGCCCCTACGTAATACATTAACTTTGATGGATAATTTTTTGATTGAACAATGCTATTCAGTCCCATAAGTGCTTAGCACCGATCTATATGACAGTTATATAAAGGTATACATTTGTCGTGTTTTTTATTTTGTAAATGTGGCTCAATTGAAATGGAAACAACCACAAGAGACCAAGTCTACAAATTGAAAGGTGAGATTTATATATTGAGAAATGAAAGGTTGAATACCCGTTTAGACAATTTAAACAAGTTGGGGACTTCAGCTACAAATTTATCATTAATTCATTTATCCTTTTTGGTTTAAAAACTAGTAGAAACAATCTATCTATATTTTACTTAAATTCAATCTTCACTCTAATTTTCTTTTAAAATAGATTTTTAAACTCCAACTTTGTGCATAGTCCTCTCTTAGAGTTATCGTGGGAAAAAAGGAAAAAAAGAAAAAAAAAAGCAGCCATTGAAAATTAATTGGCTCGTAAAATGTAAGTAGATTAAAATTGTTAAATTTAATGGCCTTGTAACATGTTGAAGTTGACGAAGTTAATAAACAATAAATGCAATAAAATCGGTCAATTATCTGATAGAAAAAAAGGTTAATTGACTATACTATATAGCTTAGTCATCAGCCATTTCTTAACAAAATATGAAATATAGATCAAAAGACCTACTCCATCATTGGCCTTGCTCGTTCGTTGCAATAAAAAAATAAATAAAAAAATAAATAAAATGTTGACTATTAGAATCTCTCTTCTTATCGTCTTATTCTATGCATTTCAGCACATTAGACATCCCCCACCCCACTCCCCACCCCAAGAAAAAAAAAATGAAAATCTCTTGGTTCATTAAATTCCTAATTGATACTCATTTTCTAATTTATCTTCCCTCAAAATTCGGCATTGAATTGGATTTTAACGTTTTAATATTTCCCTATATAATATGGTAATTTGAATCAATAACAAACTACATTTTTTTTTTTTTAAAAATACTCTCTTGTGTTGACGACTAAAATGGCATGACACCTAGATCATATCCTGCAGTCTATATCATCGATACCTGTAGCTTTGACAATCATTGTTTCTCCTGATTGGTGGACATTACGATGCTAAAGGTGACACCAATTTGAGTATGATTGGTGTTTGTAGAGTTACTTATGTAACTGGGAAACATTCATTCGTTGGATCCATGATAGTGTTTTGAGATAATTGCGACCTATGGCTATTCTTACTAGATAGATCCCATGGTTCGACTTCACATTGTGATAGTAGAGTACCTCAAATTTAAGCTCTTTTAATCACTTCTAAGGTGGATCCGGGTATCCTTGATATTGGACTCCGTCATCCTATTTTTAGTTCTCAAAATATGGGATAAAGTAAATTGTAAATGGTGAAATATAGCACATACACTAATAAATTACAAAAGAGATATACATTATAGATATGCGCTTTGTTAGTTATCAGTTTCGAAAATCGATATATTATAAATTCAAAGTGATAATTAGCAAAAATGAGTAATTCATATAGCAATTATGAGTTGCTGGCTAAGTGAAATGGTTTTGTCATATTCATCTTTACATTTAAAGATTGACCTTCATATTGTCTATACTGTCCATTATTTCATTCCTGAAAAAATAAAAGAATCTTCAAAAGGTTAGTGGAGTATAAGAACATGGTTCTATTCTCAATAGAATTAAGATCGAGTTTATAGCCCAATAAATTTTTTTATGAAGTTTGAGATAATTTAATAGCCCAATAAACATTATACACGTTTTATCATTAATTTTATCTTGCATAAAATAAAAAGAGATTTAATCAGGGACTGTCTAAATATATTAATCGACTATACATCCTGAAAATTTTTACCGATAGGACTTGGGGGCTTACTTTTTGTGTTTCTATTACCTCATCGAAGTATTCAAGGATACTGATGCTACCGTCTTAACGGATAAAGCTTACATTAACAATATTAACTAATATAACTAATACATGAGGGTTTGAATTGCTCCTTTTAATAAAGTTGATTTTTTTTTTAAGATGGAACCCCAAATTTTAATATGGTATCATATCTCCTTAAATTTCAACGAGCAATTCAGCCCACTAAGACTAAAAAATAAGCATATAAATTTCAAGATTGATATGTTCAAACAAACCACTATCTTGAAGAGACATGTTAAAGAATAATTTCATATTGGCCAAATTTAAGGATATTAACCAACATATGAGAGCTTGAGCTATTACACTTAACAAGATTGCTTTTTTAAGATGGAATTTCAAGTCTTAATAATTATACTGATGAGTTCTTCCAGTGTCCATAGGTTTCTTATAGACCTATTGCAATAACTGCTGCCCTTGCATCAAGCCCTGAAGTTGGCTCGTCCTTAAATATGATCAAGGAATTTACTACAAATTCGACTTCTATTGTCAACCTCTTTCTTTGTCTAATAGATATGCCTGAAATCCCGAGAAAGCCCAACTATGGCGTGTTTTAAATGGTACCCAATCTCTAAGGTTTAGATCTAAACTGAAACAATCTACAACGTATAATTTTTAGTCCAATTTTATTATAGCTTTGATCTCATTTAGGTGAAATTCATGAATGAGAAGACAGGTTCTATGATATTTTGTAGCTAATATGTGTGAATTGGTAGATGTGGGAGTGATATTTTATATACAAATGATATATTTCATGATGGGCTTATCTTTACGTTGTTACTTTTAAGCCATTTGTTGAGACTCGAACTTGTGATCTATGACGTGCTCCCAAAATTTGGTTAAAGTCGCATTACTAGAAATGCAACTCTTTTAACGGAAGCGTTTATTACAGGATGGCTTGTTTCTTTATCTTGACCCTTCATTTGGCATATTTAGTGTATTAGATATAAAGGCACATAGTGTCGTTTCACTTGGCACTTCAACCTTTTCTTCTTCTGATGGTTTGGTTTGAATGAAAAATCGCCTTTTCTGTTGAGGGCTAGGTTTTTTATCAGTTGTTATCTTCTCTCTTGAAATACTCATTTGAGATTGAGATCTAGATTTAGCCTCTGATATTTGTAATATTTTGAGTGATGACTGTCAGAATGAGAGGCTTCTTGCAATAATAGTTTCAGTAGCCATGTTGAAGTTTCTTGAGCAATTCTTTGGCGAACTGCAGTTTATTATAAGTGAATTGTACTTCTCTTTTGTTGCAATTTTTGGGTTATTTAGTGCAATCGAGCATACATCCAATTTTATTGGATGCTCAAAGACGTTGATCTGGTTGACGAACTTTCGGAGCTCAGGTCGAAAAAAATCTCTTATGTTAAATCTTTTAGTTTTCTACAAGTTAACTTTCGTTGTTTGCGATAATTTGAAATCTAGTTTTAATATTGTGTGATTTGGACTTTTTCAGAGGTATCAAAGCCTGGAATGAGAACAAAATACTTGGATTTTTGTAGAAAGAGATAGATCTATTGTAGATCTAAATTTTTTTGGAATTGTTGTCAAGCAAAACCTAAAGAAATCGAGCTTTTATAAACTCGTTTGGTGAAATCCTTTGATTTTTGTAATGTTCATTCTCAAAATTAGGATTTCTTAATTTTTCCCTTGATTTACATTACACTGAAATCCCCTAAAGACCAATCTTTGTCCACAGGCTCCAACGAGGCCTTAGAAATTTGAGATCAATCTAGTACGAATATGTATCTAGA